ACAATCAAATAATCTTTAATTCCAGAACATACACGTACGTGCCAATATAATCACCGATCAATTATAAATGACACTGACCGGTTATAACGAAACCAATACATGTATTTGACTCAGGTACTGCTGATTACTAAATAAAGTGTCCGATACCAATTATAACAATTGGTATTCACATGAAAACATTCAGGTATTTGAATTTTGATATAAATTACTGTCATTCAAATAAATCAGAGGTTGAAATTATAAAGATTGAAATAATCACCACTACGTTTAATGTGTACATGATATTTCTTTTTAGGTAAAGCAAGCACACAAAATCCTATTAACGTATGTTAATAAAAAGCATGATATTCTGTTAAACGTCCAATTTCAACAAAATACAGAAATAACGACTGGAACTGTTAAGTCAGTATTACACACTATACTGTTTTCACATGCACTAACAGTCGTGCACGACATCGTGTAATATCGATATTTCGAATATCAAGACGTCTTCTTTTCAAAAAGAATGCGTGGTCATCTCCAAAACCTCTTCATAACCATGATTTAATCAACAAACTTTCTCTTACACACTTGCTCAGCCCAACTTGATAAGGTCTTCATCGTTAGAATCTGCAATCAACTCAATGCATTTTTCCATATGCATAATTGAAGGTGTGTTAGTTCACATTATATAGAAACTATAGGTGGCAATTGTGATTACTTGATTAGATCTTCATCGTGAGAATCTGCAATCAACCCAATCAATACTAGATAAAGTAATTAAAGTAATTGCATTTTATAGTCTAAGTTTCATGCATACGCACGTTCACCGACTTTAAAGCTATTACAGCTGAGATGTTCTGGTTTACAGGTGGCAATTGTGATTAATCCAAACAATACATGGGCAGATAAAATCGTGTCTTAATTGACCTTGACTGTTCAATAGATGTCGATAACAGCAAACTCCTGAACAGGTGGTTTCATAATTATTTGTTAAAAACGTAGAAAAAACAGTCAAAATTAATATCAGTATCAACATATATAAGTTAAATTTCTTGTTTGAAGTTTCATTGGCAATATAAAACATCTTTTATCTGCCTCTTCGTGTGATGTTCTCAAATCATATCGAAGTATTTTAACATATCGTGTGACTTTGATAGGTGTTTCATTTTCTTCAGTCACAAGTTTTTCTTTGAGGTCGTGCATTCTCAAACAAGGCTGTTGTTAACAGTTACTAAATGAGTCATCAAATATAAAAGATATAAACAGTCTTTTGCTAATAAGAAGTTCCTCTCTGGTGGTAAATATATCATGACAGACAGCCGATGTATGTGCATGTAAGCGGTCTCGTTATTTTCGGTGGCGAAATTTTGTGCTAAATATTTATAAAATGGTTTATAGTAGAACCAATCGCATGTCAACCTCTAAGAAAATATATATAGACTGACTCTAGTAGGAGATATTGGTACGGTTAAGAATCCATGTATATCATGTAATAATGTACATATTTATTTAATCTAGCTGGTGTCTACTTAGAGAAACTTTTTACTCAAAACATGCAAAACACATAACGCCAAAAATGATTTCAATGTATTTATTTCATAAAACTTTCAGTTTAATGTTTTGTGTCCTTCAAAGTCTCCAGATATTTGTACTAGTTGTATAGCTGTATAACTAACTATAAAGTACTTATGTAGTGTATAAGAATTTGTATTGAAGACAAAATACCACTTTGATGATATTTGCTTATATCATGGCCAGCTTTCTATTCTCCGCGAGATTTGCCTTTAATATACTCATAATCATTTACATATTGAACAGTATTTAAAACATTTCTGCTTAAGTTTTCAAAAACATTTTTAAAAGACACTCAATTCTGAGACTGTGTGTTTAAAATATCTTTTAATAGATATCAAAGTTTGTATTCCTTCTGACATAGAGAATTTTACGGTTGATTTTGCAAAATAAGTGAAATAAAATTTATTGATCTTATAACAAACTGAAAGGAATCTTGTCAATAAAATATGAAACTAGGAAAATATTGTTTTGATATTCATCGAATTATATTGCGATAAGTTGTGTAGGAATGTGTTATTTTGTTTTTGTCAGAAATTGTAAAACATTGTAATCATAAAGAATTTATAGTATGCCTCCGCCATCTTGAACGCTATTTCGAATTCTAAATTCGGCTTACTAATAACAAAGTGGCATCACACGGATTCATAGATAGATATGCAAGAAAACATTTTTTTTAATTTTCCTCATGTGATTCCTTGCATTTGTTTTTGGTTTAATTGATTTGGCTTGTCTGTAGCAAAACAAAGCTGAAATTTATCAACTCAATAAATAGTAATATAATTGATAAAACTAACTTATATACTTTAAGTTCTTTCAATTCACTTAATTAAACATCATCTCTCAAAATTTTGGTTAGATTTATGACAGTCTGATAATTACTTGAAGATATTTGGACATATTGATATATCCAACGAGCAATTAATGTAGTGATGCATTTTGCAAAACCAGTGACAGTCACCAGCCAGATAGACAAGTAAATACCATAGCGTCCGTAAAACAGTTTTTTCATTTATTATTCAAAGTCCAAGCTTTTGTGTTTTTGTTGTTGTTTTCTTTTCATGTAAACACATAAACACATTAAACTAATATTATTTATTGTTCTTAACCCTTTAATTTCACATATTGAATGTTTTGAATACATTTTCCGCCCTGTTTTACGGATGAAAAATAACGGTTTAATGGTTTTGTATAAATTTTTCATATTGAATTGAATTACTCCTTCATAAGAAATGGGAAACAATTATATCATCACCTTAAAATAACGGTTTCAGAGAATGATAAATACTTAGCCTAGAAAAAATTAACAAATTGTTAAAATAGTAATATGACTTCCAGAAAGAAAACTAAGTCACAACTATAAGTGTACAAATTCCAAAAAGGAAAGAAAAAAAGAGGGTTATGGCATATGTCAATGAGTAAGATTTTTTGAAAAAAAAATATAATAGGATATCAAAAATAAAGCTTTAGAGAAAAATAAAAATAAAAGCTTTTCATGTATAATTTGCCTTATACTTTCATATTCATTTTTCAGAAAAATAACTTTTAAGCTGTAACATCTGTTAAGCAATACTCTTCCAGGAAGACTAAAAGAAATATGCACGTATTTCTTACTAGCGCGTAATTGTCCCCTTCGTAGAAGCGCAAACGACAGTGCATGATTTATATCAATATAGACATGTATATATTAGAAAGAACTAATATTTTTATAGCTGTCAAATTATAATACAAAATGTTTACTAACCCTTTCATATAAAATTATCAAATAAATTGTTGAAATTTAATAATATTTGTTGATTACATTTGCAGACAAAGACTAGAGAAGATATTTCACTTTGATAAACCTCTTTGCTTGACATAATCCGTCCTTAGTTTCTTACAGTTGACTACATATGCATCAATTAAGATGTATTGACACTGTTAAAAGAGAAATATTTTATGCATATCAGACTGGTGTTTACGTAAGTTCTACTCATGTTGGACCTTTTATCTGAAATCAGGGTGCCCTATGAATCGCATGCTATACATTGGCGTCATTGTAACGCATTTAATGTATGAACCACGAAATGGTGTCATATCTGCTTATTTTAGAATGCAACTACTTGCTTGAAATGAATTTATACGAATATGATGAAATGACTTAATCTACATGAACAAGTAATTAATTTCAAATCTTGTAAAATAGTGTTGAATGTGCAAGAAAGATATATGACATGTGTTTGCGGTTCAGATTGGAATATCCGTTCCTTGGGTACCCGCTTATTGGCGGCAACTCGGTTTTAATTGGCACTGTTAATTCATATTGTAACCACTTATAGTGTGTAGAATTTTAAGGTAGACCATGGGTAATGCATTAACTCCACTCTGAAGAGTATTCAAATAGGCTAGAATCACTTACTACAATGAAATTTAGGGGCGTGTTTCAAACCGCAGAAAGGGCAACATTTTTTCACTATTTTTTTCGTTTTAACATTGTTTATGTATCTCTCAGATCCCTTATTGAAGAAAAAAATGTTTGATTTTAATTATATAATTATTGTAAGTATTTATTTGCTAAATAATCCCAAATTAAAAAGCAAATAAGATTTCAGATATTTTCGCAGTTTAATAAAATATATACTGAAAGTATTTCATGTTTCGCATTATTAACCAATATACTTAAAAAATAGGCAAACAATGAAACAGCCCCTCATTGTTGTTACGTTTAAAAGATATATTGAAAAAGGATTTTTATTTTAGAGAAATCAAAAAAAAATTGTTTTTATAGTTTATGGGGTAGGGTAACATTTTTATACATATCAAAAAATACATTTTGTTCAGAAACATTCATTTTACCCTTTAATTTGTTACTTGAATGTTATTATTTGTTTCTTTACATGGGCAATAAGAAAATGTTTTTAAAATGATGATATTATAGATTATTTAGAGTTTCCTCATTTCTGAAAAACGGTCCTTGTAATAGCAAAGTTTTAGTTTAGAAATATATCCATAACTCATAAACAACACGGTAAATGTTATTTCAATTTTGCATACAGGTTACCTTTAACACACATAACAGTCCTATCTAAAACATATCTTCTTTTTGTAAAGTCAAAATATGTTTATTTTATATTAACAAAGATACTTTATAGCAATTGTCAATATTTTCTATTATTGATTTGAGTATGGTATATCTTTTAAAGCACACACCCACACCACATCCCCCCATATACACGAACAGACGTTAACATATATCATACAGATTTCAAGTCAAGCAAAACGAGTTTACACTGTGAGCTCTATGCTGTGAGTGAAATAAAGTTTATTTATTTAAAGAACCTAGCGTTCTATTTGTCAACCTTAGAAATCGTGATACGGATAAAAATATAATTTAAAATTTACTTTATCATGTTTATGGTTTAACCGATAAGATTTCGATCCGGGGGACAGTTTCATTAAATACAGTGATTGTACAAGTTTAAATATAAATCGGTAAGATATGTATAAGTATTTTATGATAAGAATTATTTATTACTTTATTTAGATCATACAGGAGGTCGTGAAATGTGTTATTTGTTACAGCAGTATTAGCACCTTACATTAGGATATTTCCACTGACAAGAGAAAATAGTGAATCAGGTAAAAGAGATTATTTGTTTTGCTTTCATAGAATAATTGATGTATAATTTGTAAAATAAAAAAAAATGCGGTTACTATCAAAAAGTTAATTAACTTACTATACATTTTATGATAAAAATACGACTTTAAACTTTATTCTCCCCGTACATTTAATCAAAGATGTTATATTATTGATCCTTGAAGATTGTTCAGCACGACATTATTGTTGTGTGTACATTTTGTGGAAATATAAGCTTATTGTATTTGGCTTATTTTCTACTTGGGTGGTTTCTGTATCCCTTTATCACCATTAGGATGTGTGGCTTGCCTTTTAAATTCGTCTTTTGACGTCTTATTTGTGATATGCAGGCTTCATAACTTAAGCTTCCCTGTCAAAATTCCATTTCATTTAGTGCCGCCCATTGTTTTCTCTTTTAGGTCACACGTATTCTTTTACTGAGGGACCATACTCAGCTTTTCATGTAATGACACTTATTGAAAGTTCCATGATAACGGCCGTATGAACACATTTGCGGATGTTTCAAAATTTCACCATTTAAGTGCTTAAATGTTGAATTCTGTTGAAGCTAGGGGGTTTTCACTTCACAGTCATCTACATGAACAGGCTCAACCAAACGAGCCTGCAGCATTCTAAATTTTGCCATGTAGCTTTATAGTGTAAATGATCTCATGGTGGTATGAAATAAATTAGTCAGTGCGGCCCTTTTTCGAGCCCCATTTTCACTATATTTATTTCGCTTACCGAAGTAAGTTTGAAAAGAAGATCGTCAGATAAATTTCACATGGTCCCCTTCAAAGAATGGGGTTATATTGATTTGCATTTGTCTGCCTAACTGTCGGACGGTTTGATCTGATCGTCAGTTCGTAGACTTTACAAGCTACGGGCCATTGGCACTCAAATTTCGTAGGTTCATTGGCCATGGCAAGTTAATGAACCCTATTGAGGGTCATGTAGTAACTTTCAGAGGCTTTATATTTTGCCATGAGCAGTGTTGGACAATTGATATCTCGCAAGACCGTGAGTAAAAATGGTTTCCGATCATTAACTAGACAACCCAACTGCTGATGGTGCTCAAACTTCGTATGTGGATTGCCCTATTGATTTTTATGTTAAGGGATCAATGGTCAATGTCAAATTGACCTTGTAGGTAAAAACGGTTTCCGATAAATAAATTGACAACCCGTGGGTTGTTGGCACAACCCACGGTTGTTGGCCCTCAAATTGCACAGCTGCATTGGTCATGGGTCAAGAGGTCAAATGTTCAGATCATATTGACCTTGGAGGTAAAAAAGGTTCCCGATCAATAGTATTACAACCCATGGGCCTTTGGCCCTCGAACTGCATAGTAGCATATGTCCTGAGCAGTAAATTACCACTTTTGATTTTGGGGTCAGGGGGTCAAAGGTTAAGTTCACATTTACATTTTATGTAAACACAGTTTGCTATCAATAACTGGACCACCAATAAATCTTTGACCTTCAAACTTCACAGATGCAATGCTTTTGGTCAGAAAATGACCTCAAGTGTTTTTTGGGGGGTCAAGGGATCAGAGGACAAGATCATATTGGCCTTATGGGCAAGAATGCTTTTTGATCAATATCTCAACAACTCATGAGCCCTTTTCCTTCACATTTTACTTGTGCATGTGTCTTGGCCAGTAGATAACCCCTATTGACTAAAGGGTGAATGACACATTGACATCACACGTAAAAACGGTTTCCGACCAATAACTAGACAACTTAAGTTGCTTTCGTTGATATTTTTATTAAACTAAAATGTGTTTGGTCTAAATATTTCAAGGTATGATGTAATTTAACAAATTGACTGTCATTAAGGAGGCCTACATGATCCATAATTATGCATATATTATTTGGTAACATTGGTGATAACTTTGTCATATATGTTGCCTCACACGTTCTTTATTGTTACAATTACTTAGTGACTAGTCATGACCGTATTGCTTTTTGGTGACTAGATCAAAAAGTCTGTCACAATAGCCTAACCACCAATTGACTGTCTCTTCCTGTAAATACTTTTGTTGCTTTTTTGATCTGGTTGGAATCAAGGAATATATTTTTATAGTAAGGTTACAATTTTAACCAATAGTGGCCATTAACATATGATTTTTGATCGTGTTATATGGATTTTAAATAGTTTCATGAAATTGTCTGTTTCCTTGTCTTGGATTTAATCTTAAAACATATATTTTGTTCTATTTCGTTTTGAAAAGTTATGAAAGATTTCTTACCCTTTTGCTACTTTATTGTTTACATGAATTAGATAAAATTACATATTTTAATAAATGTTACGGGTTGTTATAGCAATGGATCTTATATGTGACAAAAAGTGTAATATTAAATTGAGGCCAATTTAACGATAACAAGGCCCTCAATTGAAGTATTGCCATTCAATTAAATACTATTGGCAGGTCCTCTTCCTGAACTAGGTAATAATTATATATGTTTTGTAGCTTAACATACGCTTATTAATTCTATAAGTAACCAAGTTACCCTTTCAGATATTCAGTATAATTCTCTTTAAACAACAATTGTAAGACAAATTTCACCAAACGCACGTGGTTTAAAATTAATCAATAGCTTAAAAACACTCCAAATTACTTTATTTTCCAGATCAACTCGATAATAATGGCTTTATTATAAAGAAAGCAATATTTAAAGCAATGGTAAATTTCTGGCTGTATGTAAGAAATGATGATCAATGCATCATTTAAATAAGTTATCAATAATGTATTCATTCATTCATTCATTCATTCATTCATTCATTCATTCATTTATATTTCACTTAGTTCTCTTTTCTGTATTTATTAATTTTTGTTATGTTGTTGGGATAATTATCAAGTTGACTTCGCAATATAGTGATATAACATAAACTGGTTTATACTCTACAAGATGTAAATTTATTCTCCTAAAATCCTTATATCGAGACGCCGACATGTTACTGAGCATGCTTAATATGTATTTAGATATAATAAAGCTAACAGTTGATATTATTACATCTGCCTTATTTAGAACATGAAAATGAAATTGTGCATTTTTATATCATCATCATTTAAATACTATATAATTCATGAGTATATTTCATTCTTTAACAATCTCTTATTTTTGCAAAGATAGTCGGACAATTTATATCTCTGTTTTATGCATCAATTTAAATTATTTCTTAACCATTGTTTTTCACCGTAAAACCTATAAAGTTCACTTCCCGACCACTGCGTGCGCGATATAGTAATTTTTTGTCAACACATTTGTCTGGGGTAGAAAGTTTGAAACGACTGAATTTTTTACACCCCGACATTTAGGCTGTGAGAGAGATGTTGCAATATTGTCTGTGATTAGGTGTAATGAAGGATTGTGTTTATATTGGGTGATATCTGGGACAAATAAGTCGGCAGAGATTGCACAGTTTTTCCCGGATTTCATAGAGAAAAACGCCCATTTCATCTGTAAATCGAATTATTACCGTGAAGTGTGATGATCAAGGTAATTTATTAAGTTTTACCTTACCTTCTGCTCGAATCGCCACATTTAAATTTTGGAGAGATTTTTACCCTTTATCATAATATGACTGTTGGATAAGTATGCTATTTTGCTTCGCAATATCAGTCCTACGCATAAACCCTTCCAGCCTGCTGAATCTCAGTAAGGGCTTATCAGCTAGTAAATCACTATTAACTGTATATCTCCCATTAACACGTCCACCAAGTTGAGAGTCTTGTCATCATTAATTGGTCCTCTGTATTCTTATCTAATGGCCCTAACATTGAGGGATCAAATTTCTTTAGATGTAGTTTTTCACATTTTATCCACGTTTTTTTCTGAATTGGTCTGCGGCCCGATTGAATTGTGAAATTTAGCAATTATTTATAAATATACTTCACAAGATAAATGTTAGCTATTAAATGAATTTTATGTTGTTACATAACTTTATAAGTAATAATCATCTTATTTATAAAATTTAATAAAGTTCCATAGTTATGTGTCACTGTTACTCACGTAACCGAATACACCCCCCTCCTGCTCCCCCCCCTCCAAAAAAAACCAAACTGTTTACTGTAAACTTTACAGATATATGTTTTTACCGTAAAGTCTTAATTAAATGACCAGGTAAGTGATATTTTCCTTATTAGCTCGCCTATATAAAGTATTTTGAGAGCTGTCCTACTCACCTCGGTTTCTAAGTTGGTGTCAGCATCCATACTTTAAATGAATGTTTATATGCAGTTACTATTTTATCTGTATTTTTTTTTATTTCTCAAGGTATCAATTTCAAACATATATTCCTTATCATCATCCACATCATGTGATAAGGTGCAAAATCTTTCCAGAATTATATTCCCTTGAACCTATAATTTTGCTTAAAATAACATTTTTTACTCTAACGTCTTTATTTCAAATTAAGGACTTCAAACATGTGTTTCTCATCATCAACTACATCATATGTGACAATGTTTATAACTGTAGCACCAATTTTCCAGAATTATGTATGAACATACATTTTATTTTTCTAAAAATTATTTTTGTTTACTTACTTCTTTATTTCTTAAGGTATCTACCTCTAACTTCAAATATATGTGCCTTATCATGTGTGACAAGATTCATAACTCTAGCATCTAGCAAATACTCAGAGTTTTCCTTATTTCATTCAGATTTCAAAAAATTCTATATACCGAGACAGAAATATATCTGTAACTTATCATAACTGATTTTTGTCACAGTTTGTTTTTCCTTTCCTGTGTCCAGCATTTAATTAGTCCAGCTTTATGGTTTCTTTAAAATAACTTAAAGGTCATCAAATTTATCTTTTTTTCCTGTTCTTTGGCAATTGGTATATAGTTAAAATGATTTTGTATTGAAGTTAAAATACTTCTTTGTTTATATTTTTCGACCTTTTTTACGTTTCTTTTTTTGTACCAAATTGAATGATAAGCATAAACAATGCTTTGAATCCATTAATAGTATTACTAAACATTATTTTGCCT